ACCGCACAAGCCGCGCCGGGCTGGCACTAACGAACTCCAATTGTATTGTCTTCATCTACGTTTTTTCCCTTTCTGTAAGATATTTTCTGTACATCATTTTAACGTACGTTCAAATTTAATACTTAGGTTAGTGAAAACTTTTAATCAAAACTCGAAATTCCACAACATGTTTATGACTTCACTTGATAGCTATCATATTGTCTAAAAATCTATTAAAGTAATATAAACCGCAACTATGATAACACTACAAATGCCAAAAACCGGTTTAAATGACCTCAAGCAGACCTCAAGTTTTACAAGTATATTATGAAAGTCAAATAGACTATTACTTTTCGTTAGACCAACAACACACTGCCTTAATAAAATTCGCATTGAGCAAAACCGGATTCAGATTTAAATGAAAGCAAAAACATTTCTTCTTAAACACTGCCTAAGAAAGTAAAACAGGAAAAGCAATCGGAGGCGTGCAGGAAAACAAGAAATGAGGTCCTATATCGGGAATGTAAGAAGAAAACTGGGGTGGCGCTGTAGGGCACGGGGCCACAGTCGCACACCGGACGTGCGCTTCACATTGTATGTACTTACAAATGTATGAATTCTTTACTTTCATGTTTTGTTTTTATTACGGAGTATAAGTATAAGTATTCATTAAATTGTTACGATTTACGCCAAATACTGAAACGACATTTAAAAAAGTTGAAAGCATATAAATGATGTGGCCACTCAAACTCTAAATTCCATTTAAATTTTGAGGTCTATCTCATTGAAAGCGGCGCTTACGAAGCGACGTATTTAAGATTTGTTTCAGTTTTTGGAGAATAATTTATTTGTCCTTATACTCATCGTGCCATATCTTTTCTTCACATTTTACCGTTAAATCTGTCCTATAAATCATCGTTTTCTGAATAACGTTCATCTTACATAGCGTACAGAATGTTCATAAAACGATCGTAAAATTAAAATATAATCTATCGTTTATAAAGTACACAAATGTTAAATACTTTATTCGTAATCCCTACACAAGTGGAACATAAACGGGGCAGTTAACACATTTACGAGGAGGGCGAGGAGTAACAGCTTCCTGTTGGGGCTAGATAACAGATTCATTTAAGCTGCGCCGTGTGTTGTGAAAATTCAATAGGCAAGGAAACTAATCTGTTAGTGAGAGCTCGGAAGACGCCGGAATTCGCAAGGCGGCCCCCGCCGACACTGATATACACCGCATACATCCTCATTAAGTATGATATATTGATGTTGGCACGTGTTACATGTTTCAGATATTAATTTTAAGTTACTTAAACGTACCGTAAGCTTAAAGTTTGATAAAAAAAACTTGATGACATCAATTACAACAAGAAAAGTTAGAAAGTTTTGTGAAAATTATAAAGGTGTACATACAAAGGTAAACGCATAGTTATCAAGGTTGTAACTAAAGTATTTGTTAGTAAAAATTGTAAATCGATAATGTTCTTTTTAACCATATAACTATCATGAATATACAACTTTGATTTCACTGACGGGGACGAAAAATAATATTCTGTGCATGACTATCCTATGCACAATATTCGCAATGTAGTTGGGAAATATGAGACATTTTTCAAACGATAGTGATATAAGAATGCTGGGAGTGCTTCAATTGAAACATGCGCCGTATACGTAATAAATAGTACGCAGTAGCGAACGAGCAACCGGAGCAATTGCTCTCAATAACCACATCCTAATTTTCTCGTTTCCTGACGCTGACGAGCGCTGCGGCTCCGGCCTTAGACGTCGACTATTACTTGCTTCATTTCAAATCCACCTTCCGCTGCATGTATCTAAACAATGTTAGTTTGAATTTTTCCATCGCCGTGTCCGCTCATCCTTATTTGCCTAAAATTAACAATTCCCGCGCTAGCAGAGATCCGTCTACTGTGACAATAGTTCAGATAAAAGATTTTCATCCATGAGACAACATTGATTATTTTGATATTGTATTAGGTGTCCTTGCGATTATCTACAACATAAACTTGTTAACTTGGCAACTGAGTTTTTATGACCTTTTTAAATGTAATATGTTAAAGGTTACGTAAGCTGAATTATAACGAAATCGCTTAGTGTTTTTTTTTTCTCAATATCGTACGCTTTTAATACTTTTAGTGGTAACAATCAAGTCAGATGATCCCCACATCAGTATTGTTATAAATCATATAAGAAACACGTAAAAACCGTTTTCGGTTCGATGTGATTTATAGGTAGGTGAATGAAAGGGCTATTCTGAATCGTGGCACTCTGGTAGCGGGGTCCCAAGGCTGCGTCGGTGTGAGGCGGGTGTAGGTGGGTGTAGGGCTCGAGTTCGCAATTTAATTTGTTCCCGACGACTTCTAACCTAAATTAAATAACAACGCTCGTGTTGTAAATATTTTTTTCGCTTACACGAAGTAGCAATCCAACATCATTGGTCCCTATTTGCTTAATAAACAAAGTTAGCGAAACGACGATTTACTACTTTAATAATTACTTTTAATTATCTAATTTACTAGTAGATAAATGACAATATTTTATTCTCGACTAAAAATGGAGATTTAATTTAAAAATAGTTTAATGTATTTCTTATCAAAAACCTCTTTTAGCATTTATTTTAACTTATCCGTTTTCTGAAACATTTAATTTAATGTCGTAAGGTTAACGTTGCATATCGTAACTATTATTTTTCGTTCGTTATAGCACCTTAAAACCTGCTGGCATCAAATAACATTATTTCACACGTTCACATTTAACCTTTGTTTGTATGAATCACTAAATGAGGCAAAAATCTAATGACACTGCTTTATTCACGCAAAAATAAACAAAAACATTAAAATCGAATTCATTTCAAATACTATTTGTAACGACCTTTTAAACTGTATATAACAACTTATTTATAAACAACAATCAGATATTATACTTAGTTAATATGGTTTTCGCTTTGAACTTTAACTTGAAGGTTAGATATTAATAATTGCGTCAGGTGAACGTTAATAAGTTTTTGATAACCTTAGATCGGATTTGTTGTATTGTGATTATGATATATTGTACCACTATTTGTTTTGTTTCGAGATAATATACGGTGAGGAGACATTCTTTATCTATATTTTGTATGATATATATGATATTAAAGCTTATTCAACTTTCCAATACCAATATCGACACTGCTGATGACTAAATTATTGTAAAAGACAATAAATACATATTTACAATTATCATTCTTTATTCAAGTTGTAATGGACTGATACAAAGATGCGCTACTTAACCGGTCTTTAACTCATTCGCTCTATCAGCTTCATTGTAGAATCACGTGAGATCATTCGAACATACTTCTCGACCTTTGTCTTTTAACATTCGAATTTTTTCTAATTACTCCCAAAAAGCGTACGAACTTTTGACATTTAAAATATTCATAAATACGTGCACACATGAGCTTAACGAAACAAAAAAGCGCACAACAAAATATTTGTGCAATCCTCATAAAGCCAGATTAGTTCCGCAACGCCCATTCACAGCTTAGCTTCCATTGTTCCCGGAAAAAGCAGACCTTTTTACTTTTGCGACTTTTTAGGGCAACCTCATGCTTGTTTTTCTCGATATAACAGTCCGGAGTTGGCACACTATTGATACATCTAAAAAATTGCAGATCAAAAATACCTACAACTCGTATGTTATGTACACGATATGTTTTAAATCAGATGAATAAAAGAGATTTGTAAAATTTAAAACTATAAAATATACCTAGTATTAATTTATGAATTTGACAATCGTTCGGTAACATACACCAAGCACCTACAACGCACGCTCTGAATTTTGGCACAGTTGCACACATACGATGTCAATATTTCGAAGCGCAGCCCAGAAACGTCAGGGCGCTAGTGCTTGTATTTATTACAACAAAATTAGTATACGCCTCGGCCCTGAAACAGAATGCTAGCATGTGTTGCTCGTCCAATTAAATTTTAATAATGTAATAATTAATGTCGCCGTTGTCGCGACGATTTATCTGGCTGCGATTGTGCCATCGCTCGGGAAAACAACGCTTCATAACTTTTTACACAAATGTTTATATTTATGAAATAGAAATAATTTCCGTGTGTTTATATGTTTTGTATATTTAAATATTTGATCTCATTTTGAGGCACCTGGACTTGAAATTCAGCTTTTGATATGTGTTTAAATGTTTTCGTGTCACTCTGTAATATGCGTACATATCCTCCGCTTCGCATCGGACCCTTGTTGTTATCTCTGGCGTAGCGACACTCATGAACACGATGTATCAGATACGTGAACGGCGTCTGTTTGTATTCGCACAGAACTCTGCTATCTAAATCGTATTAAGTAGGCACTGGTGTATAAACCGGATCGGAAAATATTACAATGTCAAAATGATCCATTATCAATTACTCAGGTCGACTTCATTTATTTAGTGGGCCACTTTTGCTATCGGACAATCAGCTAATCTTGGCACGAGACCTCTCTAATCACATAACACGTTTTGCTAGCTTATATAATTAAACCTTTTTGTATTATGCTATGCTTTGTACTCGCCATGTGTATTTGCGTTGGTTTACTTAAAACGTTTTGTACAATAACAAGTTTTTATTTAAAAATCATCGCAATTCTTACTGATGTGACCTAGGTTTTAGTTCTAGCGCTTTCAACTTTCTTAGCACTCTTGTTTTACCACAACTATGTATATCTTTCAATTGAACGTACATAAAGTGGAAGTCTATATTGTTTGTATACAAAAGGAAATCTTA